TTGCTAGAAAGCATTTGGATGATCCAGAAGAGGATTGGGAGAATGTCATATGGTCAGATGAAACCAAAATAGAACTGTTTGGTAGAAACACAACTCATCGTGTTTGGAGGTGAGAGAATGCTGAGTTGCATCCAAAGAACACCATACCTACTGTGAAGCATGGGGGGTGGCAACATCATGCTTTGGGGCTGTTTCTCCACAAAGGGACCAGGACGACTGATCCATGTACAGGACAGAATGAATGGGGCCATGTATCGTGAGATTTTGAGTGCAAACCTCCTTCCATCAGCAAGGGCATTGAAGATGAAACGTGGCTGGGTCTTCCAACATGACAATGATCCCAAACATACCGCCCGGGCAACAAAGGAGTGGCTTCGTAAGAAGCATTTCAAGGTCCTGGAGTCGCCTAGCCAGTCTCCAGATCTCAACCCCATAGAAAACCTTTGGAGGGAGTTGAAAGTCCGTGTTGCCCAGCGACAGCCCCAAAACATCACTGCTCTAGAGGAGATCTGCATGGAGGAATGGGCCAACATACCAGCAACAGTGTGTGCCAACCTTGTGAAGACTTACAGGAAACGTTTGACCTCTGTCATTTCCAACAAAGGATATATAACAAAGTCTTGAGAAGAACTTTTGATATTGACCAAATACTTATTTTCCACCATAATTTGCAAATAAATTCTTTCCAAATCAGCCAATGTGATTGTCTGGATTTTTTTTCATTTTGTCTCTCATAGTTGAGGTCTACCTATGATGCCAATTACAGGCCTCTCTCATCTTTTTAAGTAGGAGAACTTGCACAATTGGTGGCTGACTAAATACTTTTTTGCCCCACTGTAGCACACTTTAACCTTAAACCTTACCACACAGTTTAATCAAAAAGTATTTTACATAAATAATGCATTTCTTCATTTTAGTCTCTTTTCAAATAAAACACGACTGTCTTTCATGGGAAAACAAGAGCATGTGTGAATTTAAGTAACACCACAAATTACTCAACTGAAACCATATGCTTTTGTGAAATAATAACAGATCTCCAAGAAGCTTTTTTTCTTTGGCTGGCATAAGGTTTCTACATTTGTTCTTTCTGGATGTAACCTAAAATCACTGTGAATTTTTGATTCTTCTAAAAAGTTAACTGTGAATATTAAAAATGATCTCTGCAACTAAATGTTACATATAACTGCATAGAGTTCCAGCTGTAAAAACAAATGTGCCATGAGTCACCAACACACACAGTATATACTCAATTATACAAAGCACACACACCATGCTAATCTTTGTTTTCAAAAAAGTTAATTATTTCTTAGTGGGAGTCCAGGGAGATTTTATTATTATTATTATACAGTATTTATATAGCGCCAAAGGGTATGCTCAGCGCTGTACAGTAGCAAGGGGGACAAAACATGAGACAAGACAGTAACAATACACTACACGAAGGGTTCAAGGACCCTGCTCTTTCGAGCTTACAATCTTGGAGGGAAGGGAAGTTGGTACAGGAGGAGATGGCTGTGGGGGATGGAGTGGTGGGAGGAGTGGAGGAGGATAGTTGTTAGGTGAGGTCGGGTGTTAGGCGAGGTTGGGGTAGGCTTCCCTGAAGAGGAGGGTTTTCAGGGTGCGCCTGAAGGTGAGGAGGGTAGGTGAGAGTCTGATGGATTGGGGAAGGGAGTTCCATAGGATGGGGGAAGTCCTGGAGAAGTCCTGCAATCGGGCGTGGAAGGAGGAGACGAGGGAGCTAGAGAGTAGGAGGTCCTGTGAGGAGCGGAAGGCACGGGTAGGGTAGTATTTGGGTATCAGATCAGTTATGTAGTTCGGGGCGGCATTGTGAATGGCTTTGTAGGTCAGAGTTAGCAGTTTGAATTTGATGCGTTGGGCAATCGGGAGCCAATGAAGGGATTGGCAGAGGGGGGAGGCAGATGTGGAGCGGTTGGTGAGGTGGATGAGTCTAGCCGCTGAGTTTACGATTGACTGGAGTGGGGATAGCGTTCGTTTGGGTAGGCCAGTGAGAAGGGAATTACAATAGTCCAGGGTCCAGGCGTTTGATGATGAGGGAGTGTACGAGTTGTTTGGTGGTGTCTGGGGTGAGGAATGTGCGTATCTTGGAGATGTTGCGGAGGTGGAGCCTGCAAGATCTAGATAGCAGTTGGATGTGGGGTAGGAAGGAGAGGTGGGAGTTTCAGGGTGAAACCCAGGACTTTGGCGTGTGGGGTGGGAGAGATGGTGGCATTGTTAGTGGTGATGGAGAGGATGGGGGGGGGGGCACGGGGTGGGGGGAAGACCAGGAGCTCTGTTTTGGATAGGTTAAGTTTGAGGAAATGGAGCGACATCCAGTCTGATATGTCGTTTAGGAGGTGGGCGATGTGGGCAGAGAGTGAGGGGGTGAGGTGGGGGGTGGAGAGGTAAATTTGGGTGTGTGGTCGGCATAGAGGTGGTAATTGAAGCCGTGGGAGTGAATAAGTTTGCCAAGGGAGGAGGTATAGATGGAGAAGAGGAGGGGCCCGAGGACAGAGCCTTGGGGGACCCCGACAGGGAGGGGGAGGTGGCAGTGTTGTAGGTGACGCTGAAGGAGCGTTGGGAAAGGTAGGAGGAGAACCAGGAGAGAGCAGCGTCCTTGATGCCAAGGGAGTGCAGTTTGGCAAGGAGGAGAGGGTGGTCAACAGTGTCGAAGGCCGCGGAGAGGTCGAGGAGCAGGAGGATAGAATAGTGGCCATTGGTTTTGGCGGTTAGCAGGTCGTTGGCGATTTTAAGTAGGGCGGTTTCGGTGGAGTGCAGGGGACGGAAGCCAGACTGTAGGGGGTCAAGGAGGTTGTTATCAGTGAGGTGGGCGCTTAGGCGATTGTAGACCAGGCGCTCAAGGAGCTTGGAAGTGAAGGGCAACAAGGAGATGGGTCTAAGGTTGTTAAGGTTAGTGGGGTCAAGGGAGGGTTTTTTGAGTATGGGGGTGATGTGTGCGTGCTTTAGACGGGAGGGGAAGGTGCCGGTGGAGAGGAAGAGACTGAAGATGTGGGTGAGGGAGCGAATGATGGAGGGGAGGGGTGACTGGAGGAGCTGTGAGGGGATAGGGTCCAGGGGGCAGGTGGTGAGGCGGGCTTCAGTGAAGACCTTAGAGACCTCCTCGGGGTAGTTGGGCTGAAGGAGCAGAGTGTTGGGGAGGTGATGATATGCGGGGCATTAAGTATAGTGGTGGGGTAGTGCGGCTATGAGGTCAGGGGAGGGGAGGGTTGAGGGGTTGAAGGAGGGCGGGAGGCTGGGTTAAGAGGTGGATTGTGAGTTGACAATGTCCTTACGGATTGCGTCAATCGTGTTTTGGAAGTGATTGGCAATCTCGTGGGCGGTGAGTGAGGTGCTGGGTGGGGGTGGGGGGGAGAGAGCAGGGGATTTGAAAGTGGAGAAGAGCCGACGAGGATAGGTGGAGAGGGGTTGATAAGGGTTATGAAATAGGCTTCCTTGGCGGCGTGGAGGGAGGTGGTGTAGGCGAGGTAGGCGGCTTTATAGAGGGAGAACGCGGGAGGGGATCTGGTTTTGCGCCATAAGCACTCCAGCATGCGACTGCGTCGTTTGAGGCATTTCGTGTGGTCGCTTTGCCAGGGTTGAAGCAGTCGGGGTCTAATGCTACGTGTGGTTAGGGGTGCCAGGAAGTCAAGGGCAGCTGACAGTGAGTCGCTGTATGCAGTAGTGGCCAGGTCAGGGCATGACAGACGGTCAGCTGCTGGGTGGAGATGGGTCGGGATCAGATTGCGGAGGTTGCGGGTTATGGTTAGACGCTTCGGGGGGGGGGGGGGGGAGTTGAGGGAGGGGGAGATGGAGAATGTGAGGAGGTGGTGGTCAGAGAAGGGGAAGGGGTGTTAGTGAAGTCGTGGGGGGTGCAGAGGTGGGAGAAAACGAGGTCCATGGTGTTTCCGTTGGAGTGGGTGGAGGACTGAGTGTGCTGTGTGAGCGTGAAGGAGGAGGTTAGAAGGAGGAGTTGGGAAGTAGCCGGGCTGTTGGCATTGATCGGGATATTGAAGTCGCCTAGGATGATGGTCGGTAGCTCGGAGGAGAGGAAGAAGGGAAACCAGGGGCAAAGTCGTCTAGGAAGGGGGATGCGGAGCCAGGAGGCCGATAGATTACCGCAATCCTTAGGGGGGTGGTAGAGAAGAGCCGGATGCAGTGGGCCTTGAAGGAGGAGAAGGACCGTCCGCTCGGTCTGGGTGAATGGGTCCAGACGAGGCCTCCATTGGAGAGGGCAGCAGGGGAGGTGGAGTCAATGGCTTGGATCCAGGTTTCGGAGGTTGCTAGGAGGTTGAGGGAGTGGGAGACAAAGAGGTCGTGGATGGCGGTGAGCTTGTTGCAAACCGAACGGGCGTTCAGGAGTGCAACCGAGAGGGGAGGGGTGGATGTGGGGAGGAGGGGGACAGATATGAGATTGAGGGGGTTGCGGTGGTTGGCGTGAGTAGGGGGGTGCCAGGAGGGGGAGTGGGGAGATGGGGGGCCAGGGTTCGGGGAGATGTCACCGGCGGTTAGGAGGAGGAGGGTGAGGAAGGTGGCATGGGAACGGGAGGTGCAGGAGCGCGTGGGACGGTTGGTGGAGATTTGAACAATTACAGTTACAAAATTAAAATAAAGATTCTTATCCTTAACCACTAGCCTACAGGGCACTTATACCCCCTTCCTGCCCAGGCCAATTTCCAGCTTTCAGCGCTGTTGCACTTTGAATGACAATTGCACGGTCATGCAACACTGTACCCATATTAAATTTTTATAATTTTTTTGTGACAGATAGAGCTTTATTTTGGTGGTATTTAATCACCTCTGGGTTTTTTATTTTTTCTTAAACAAACCAAAAACCACTGAAAATTTCATTTTTCTTAGTTTTTGTTATAAAATTTTGTAAATAAGTGATTTTTCTCCTTCGCTAATGAGGCTGCAGTGATGGGCACTGATAGGCTACACTGATGGACACTGATAGGTAGCACTGATGAGGAGGCACCGGTAGGTGGCACTGATGGGCATTGACAGGCATCACTGATGGGCACTGAAAGGCAGCACTCATATATGGCACTGATAGGTGGCACGAATAGGTGGCACTGATAGGCGGCACTGACTGGCACTGTTAGGCAGCACTGATAGGAAGCACTGGCGGGCACTGCTAGGCGGCACTGATGCACACTGATAGGCGGCACTGACTGTCACTGATAGGTTGCACTGATTGGCAACACTGATAGGTGGCACTGCCTGGCATTGATAGGTGGCACTGATGGGTGACACTGAAAGGCAACTCAGATGGGCACTGATATGTGGCACTGATGGGCACTAGCAGGTGGCATGGATGAGCACTGAGAGCTGGCACTGATGGACACTGACAGGTGGAGCTTCTGGGGCTACACAGATCATCAGGGCACACTGATCATCAGTGCTCTGATGATCTGTGTACATGTCCCCTTCGAGGAATGCCGATTACCGGCTCTCCTCTCCTCGCGAGCTGTCAGCGTGACAGCTCATGGGGAGAGAAATGCCGCTAACCGGCATTTCCCTGTTTACATGTGATCAGTTGTGATTGGACACAGCTGAACACATGACTGAGTCGACATCTTCGGCTCTTTCTGTGGATCGGTGATCCTCTGTGTTCGAGGGACACAGCACACCACCAATCGCCACGCTGCGTGCTCCGGGAGCCGCGCATGCGCGGTTAGAATGGGAGGACGTCATATGACGTCCTCCCAGAACAAGAGAACCACCTTGCGTCCGTCATATTACTATATGGTGGGTGGGAGGTGGTTAAAAAGGGGCAGATTACAGGATCCCCTCACTCTAGCAGATGTTATCAAAGAACTAGCCCATTATTTTGAGTTAAATGCCACTCTGGACTGTGACCCGCTACCCATAAACCCTTTATACAGGGTATCCTCATTAAGCATGGCTCCAGACTAAAACATGTGGAGGAAACCAAAATGAGTAACCTCTTACATGACACTGATCATCTGGAACTCCAACATAAGACTTAACAAGACACCTCCATGGCAACGGAACTTGTCTCGCTCCGCAATCGTCTCAATGACCTGTATTCCCACAAGACAAAAGCCGCCCTTACATGATGTTGCAAATTCTTCTATGCCAATGGAGACAAATGTGGACGGCTATTAGCCAATGTCCTGAGAGACCAATGCCTCTTCTCATATGTCCCCTTCATGGAAGCCAGCCATAGATGGTTTGAATCTTAGCTGGTTCAGCAGGGACTGGCCAAGATTCGAACCAACTATGTTCAGGCTGATTGTACTTAATTTGAACTGTTGAACAACTTGGGTACAACCAGCCTGTCGGATTTTTCATGCAATTATTGCCAGCAGCAATTACTGTGTTCTCCTAGCAGGGACGGTTCCCCCCCCCCACCGCGCTTCCCTGCCAAGAGAACACAATAGCTCTGTGGGAGGGAATCACCCATCAACACAGTCAGAGATTTTTGTTTCCAGAAACCTGTGGTTGCAGGAAAGAAAATCGCATAGCCAGCTTAAGGCACTAAAATTAATCACCCCAAGGACATCACTGATTAATTTTTTACTCCTTCCTGTACAACTCGCATTCCAAAAGACCCTCCCAGAACCTCCCACTTTCAGCTAAACTAGATTGAAGAGCATATCGCCACCTCAAACATGCCCACTCTAGATCCTGCTATTCCAACCAGATGCTCCCTTTTTTCAAGGATGAAATCCAGGCTGCCATCAATTGATTGCAAGGCCCTTGGCCTAGATGGGCCCTACCCCCATATGTTTATCCCTGTTTGACCAAAGCTCTCAATTTGCCTACATGGGGCTCCCAGTTCTCCAGAGACTCCATGATGATCTACATAGCAGTGATCCCCAAGGGAAAGAGCCTTTCCTATACATCAGCTATAGGCCTATCTCCCTCTTAAAAACTAGATGTAAAGCTCCTCACCAAAATCCTGGCCAACCACCTTCTACCACGTTACAAGTATAATTAATCTGGACCAAGTGGGGTTCTTACCCACTTGGGCTAGAAACAACGTAATCACAGTAAATACAAAATATATTCGGCACCTAGGAAACCACCACAATAAACAGATAAAATAAAAGTGATAATATTGTCAATAATGCAGTGCAATATTGTCAACCACCACAAAGACAAAAAGTGTAGAATTGTGCTCATAATAATATTTAAAGATATAATATAATCAAGATGTGTGGCACCCATATGTTTTTTTTACACTGAAGGGTATAATCATTCAGTAAGAGTTAACTTTTACCATCCTCCATACTCCTCTCCTATTTATCCTATTACTGGAACCTTTCCTTTCTAGAGTAAAAGAAAATCCAAACATCCAGAATATACATGTAGGAGATGGTAATACAAGTTTTCTACATATGCAGAAGATCTCATTTTCTCCATCACTTCCCAACATATGCCTCTTCCCAATCTCATGAGGGAACTAAAAATATATGGCGATCTTACCTTCTTCAAGATCAACTTTCAAAAATCAGTAGCCTTGTCCCTCTCTCAAACTCTCTCTCTGATCAGATTTAAAATTACACTGAGCTCCTAAAGCCTTGAAAGATCTTGGATCCCACATTCCAGCCAACCTGAAATTACCTTAGACTTGAACTTCCCCCTTCTCCTCCACAAGACTTTTCAGCTCCTGCAGAAATGAAACACTGGTTTTTTTTTTTCCAGGATTGACAGCTGTAACATTCTCAAGATGACAATGCTCCCAAAATTTATATACCTACTTATGACTTTTCCCATCCATGTCCTGCTGCCTTCCTTAAATCAGTAAATTCCACCTTCTCAAAATTCTTGTGGGCCCCAGAATCAAAAACAGCATACTTTCCCTTCCCAGGGACTATGGTGGCCTGGCATTTCCAGATTTCCAAGAATATCATACTGCAGCACAGCTCACATCCCTCCCCATATCAGTTAATCAGCCCTATTGTTTCTTTCTCCGTATGGGCCTTTTAAATATAACCTTTCTTCTGCCCATTCTCCCCTATACCCAATTATAGGTAATCCTGCATTTCCATGCCCAGGCCCTCAGTAAACGCATAGACAGCAGTCTCTTCCAAGTCTCCCACTTCCTCTTTAACAATCACTGGCTCATCCCCGAGGCTCTCACAAGAGCTACTGGCCACTTCCATTTGGACACCTGGAGAGCCTCACAACTGCATCACTTCCTTCTCAAGCTACCCATCCCCACAGGCTTCCAGAGGCCTCTTTCCCACTCTGAATACTTTTGGAGGCCCCATCTCCCTATCTATAATATACAGTCAGGTCCATAAATATTGGGACATCGACACAATTCTAACATTTTTGGCTCTATACACCACCACAATGGATTTGAAATGAAATGAACAAGATGTGCTTTAACTGCAGACTGACAGCTTTAATTTGAGGGTATTTACATCCAAATCAGGTGAACGGTGTAGGAATTACAGCAGTTTGCAGATGTGCCTCCCACTTGTTAAGGGACCAAAAGTAATGGGACAGAAAAATAATCATAAATCAAACTTTCACTTTTTAATACTTCATTGCAAATCCTTTGCAGTCAATTACAGCCTGAAGTCTGGAACGCATAGACATCACCAGACTCTGGGTTTCATCCCTGGTGATGCTCTGCCAGGCCTCTACTGCAACGGTCTTCAGTTCCTGCTTGTTCTTGGGGCATTTTCCCTTCAGTTTTGTCTTCAGCAAGTGAAATGCATGCTCAATCGGATTCAGGTCAGGTGATTGACTTGACCGTTGCATAACATTCCACTTCTTTCCCTTAAAAAACTCTTTGGTTGCTTTTGCAGTATGCTTTGGGTCATTGTCCATCTGCACTGTGAAGCGGCGTCCAATGAGTTCTGAAGCATTTGGCTGAATATGAGCAGATAATATTGCCCGAAACACTTCAGAATTCATCCTGCTGCATTTGTCAGCAGTCACATTATCAATAAATACAAGAGAACCAGTTCCATTGGCAGCCATACATGCCCACGCCATGACACTACCACCACCATGCTTCACTGATGAGGTGGTATGCTTAGGATCATGAGCAGTTCCTTTCCTTCTCCATACTCTTCTCATCACTCTGGTACAAGTTGATCTTGGTCTCATCTGTCCATAGGAGGTTGTTCCAGAACTGTGAAGGCTTTTTTAGATGTCGTTTGGCAAACTTTAATCTGGCCTTCCTGTTTTTGAGGCTCACCAATGGTTTACATCTTGTGGTGAACCCTCTGGTGAAGTCTTCTCTTGAGTGTTGACTTTGACACACATACACCTACCTCCTGGAGATTGTTCTTGATCTGGCCAACTGTTGTGAAGGGTGTTTTCTTCACCAGGGAAAGAATTCTTTGGTGATCCACCACAGTTGTTTCGGTCTTCCGGGTCTTTTGGTGTTGCTGAGCTCACCGGTGCGTTCCTTCTTTTTAAGAATGTTCCAAAAAGTTGTTTTGGCCACGCCTAATGTTTTTGCAATCTCTCTGATGGGTTTGTTTTGTTTTTTCAGCCTAATGATGGCTTGCTTCACTGATAGTGACAGCTCTGTGGATCTCATCTTGAGAGTTGACAGCAACAGATTCCAAATGCAAATAGCACACTTGAAATTACCTCTGGACCTTTTATCTGCTCATTGTAATTGGGATAATGAGGAAATAACACACACCTGGCCACGGAACAGCTGAGAAGCCAATTGTCCCATTACTTTTGGTCCCTTAACAAGTGGGAGGCACATATGCAAACTAAGAAAAAATTAATAATAGCGCCTATGGTCAAAATTATATAACTTACTAATAGTGTACCAGCTGCAAAAAATCACCATATATAAAGTGTACCAATAAATAAATAATTTGCGCTAGTAAATGTGTATAAAAAGAAATCATCAAATCATAAGTCCAGAAAAAAAATATATATATGCCAATACCACAAAAAAAAAAAAAAAAAAAAAAAATAAAAAAACTTTTAAGTGCAAAAAACTTTTGTGCAAAAAAAGTGTCTAAATATGAAAAATTTTCACCAAAAAACCTTGATAATATAATGGCAGATCATCCATAAATATATCTTCAGAAACGGAAACTCTGCAACACATCGATCCTCATCGATCGAAATAACAGGATGAAAAACTTTGTAGTTAATCGAAAATCCACTTCTCCAATAGATAAAGGACCACCTTCAAACGTATCCATGGGGGGAAATGCCAAGCACTCGAGAGAAACAGAAAGACTTCATGGTGCAATATTATAAAAACCAATTCCTTTATTAGGTACTCATTGCACTTACTCAAGAGGTGTCCCAGCCGACACCAGCATCAACAGCATAACAGCAAT